TTCCTGCCTATGCAGGGGGTCGGACTCGATGATCTATTGAGGTCCCTTCCGACCCTAACATCTATGAATCTATGAACCATATTAAACAAAGATATCACATTCAAGTTGTACTAATTTAATGTATGTAATTGCCAACAGGCCCACAATAACTAATAAAGAACTCAGTTCTAAAACAGAACTTTGTGCAAGTGAACCCAGACTACTGCACCTGGCAGCACAGTCTGGGGAGGAGGTAAGCAGGCAACAGTGGCGAAAGAACAGGTTAGGGATTATTTACAAAAGCTGGATGTGTACAAGTCCATGTGGCCAGATGGGATGCATCCGAGGGTGAGGAGGGAGTTGGCTGATGTGATTGCAGAGCCACTAGTTATCATCTTTGAAAACTTGTGGAGATCAGTAGAGGTCCCAGATGACTGGAAAAGGGCAAGTACAGTGCCCATCTTTAAGAAAGGGAAGAAGGAGTATCCAGGGAATTACAGATTGGTCAGCCTCAACTCAGTTCCTGGAAAAATCGTGGAGCAGATCCTCAAGGAATCTATTTCTAAGCACTTGGAGGAGTAGAAGATGATTGAGAACAGTCAGCATGGATCATAACAGACCACGTCATGCCTGACCAACTTAATTACCTTCTATGACAAGATGACTTGCTCTTTGGATGTGGGGAGACCAGTCAGTGTGATATACTTTGACTTCAGCAAGGCTTTTGATCAGATTTGCCACAGCATTCTCGCAAGCAAGCTAAAGAAGTATGGGTTGGATGAATGATCTGTAATGTAGATAGAAAACTGTTTGGATCATCAGACTCGGAAAGTAGTAGTCAGTGACTCAACGTCCAGTTGGCAGCTGGTATCAAGTGGAGTGACCCAGGGGTCAATCCTGGGACTGGTTTTGTTCAATATCTTCATCGATGACCTGGAAGTTTGGAAGGAGTACACCCTCAGCAAATCTGCAGATGACACCAAGCTGGGGGGGGAGTAGTAGATATGCTGGCGGGCTGGGCTAGAATTCAGAGACCTCAACAAATTGGAGGATTGGACAAAAATAAATTTAATTTAATTTAATTTATAGGGGAACTTAATAGCAGCCTCCAACTACCTGAAGAGTGGTTCCAAAGAGGACAGAGCTAGACTGTTCTTACTGGTAGCAGATAACATAACAAGGAACTATTATCTCAAGTTGCAGCACGGGAAGTTTAGGTTAGATATTAGGAAAAATTCTCTCACTTGGAGGGTAGGAAAACACTGGGACAGGTTACCCAGAGAGGTGGTAGAATTTCCATCCTTGGAGATTTGTAAGACCTGACTAGACAAACCTTGGCTACGATGATTTATTTCGGGATAGTCCTGCTTTGAGCAGGGGATTGGAATAGATGACCTCCTGAGGTCCCTTCCAACTCTAATTTTCCATGATTCTAACCCAAGCAAAGTTCAGTTGCAACATTTCTGGCAAAGATTTTATTTTCTTTAGTTAAAAATTAAAGCGTTGCATATTACGTCTTAGAAGGATGTTAGCAGACTGTCTTTTACTGTAATTGTGCAAACTTTAGGTTCGCAGGTTGTTAAGTGTCTGATTAAATTACTAAAACGGGAATAGGAAGTATGCCATTCCAAGAGAACTGTGGGTAAATGTAGAATATCTAAATTACATAAATGATATGGGAACAACTGGGGATACCAGCTTTTTTTTAATTAAAAATTAAATAGACAAGATTCTGAATTAATTCTTTGGTTTTGCTGAGTAAGAAGGTACAATGTTTACACAGTAATTCTGCAGCTATAGCTACACTTTTAAAATAAACCAACTCTTCAACAAAGGAAAATATGCAACTGTGTGGAAAAAAATTGGGATTTGCAAAGTACTGGAGAACAAATAATTATATAAATGATACAATGTACAGGACAGATTTTAGAAAGAAAAATCTTTTTCCTTGTGAAAATATACATTTGTTCCAAAAACTGTTTTAATGAATACCATGTTTTTAAGTTGGATAAGTTAAAATTGATTGACATATATTACAGCAAAAGCAAAATTATCTGGAAATTAAAATACTGTGTACTAATTTTTTACTCTATGGGTGAAACTCTGGTTCCACCAAATTTAATAGCAAGTCCTTCATTTACTTCTTGGACCAGGACCTCCACTATGTGAGGCATACAAAGAACAAAGCATGGCCCCTGCTGAAAAGAGTTTATACTCCAAGTACTTCCATTAAATGAACCAGCTGAAATTTTTCATCATATTATTCTGAAATGGTCTGGAAAACAATTATAAAATAACTTTAGAATTTTCCTAACTGGAGGTATAAGTTTTGTAATGTATTACATATAGAAAGCTAAACTGTTGGCTAAAGAGAAGTAACTTGTTTTGATACAAAATTCCATAAAACAGAATGAAGATATTCCAGAAGACAGAAAAGATACATAAGTAAAAATAGCAAAACAGTAATAGATTCTTTTTCTTTAGGAATATGACTTGGGTTTACTTACAATTGACATAAGTGTTAATATATAATGCTGTAAGTTCTGTCCGTGGTGGCGAACCATTTTGGTATCAGCTGTAACCATCACTTCTACATATCTTGGATAGGAAAGAAAACGCTTTTTCCGGGAATGTGGATTGCTTCTACCATGCTCTATAGAAAGGTTTTTAAAGGTGTATTCTAAAACTGGAGACTTTTGTAAAACATTTAAATCTTCATTTAAACTGCTGTAGTTTGGAAATGGTAAAGCGCTTTTCTCCATCTGTCTGTCTGTAAGGTAAAAAATAGTTAACACAGAATGAAATTAAAATTAAGCACAACTAAACTTAGAAAGAGAGAAGAAAAAACAGCACAAAATAGACAAAGTTGGAGAGATGTAATACTTACAATCTGCCTACAAGTGAATCAATGTAAGATGTTTTTTAAAGCTATTAAATATGAACCAACAGGAACATCACATTAGATATTTATAGTATATTATTATGTATCCCATATTATTATTATCCCATATTTGGTGTCATATAAGAAATTATATTTTAAAATACACAAATATTATATATTTAGTAGAATACGAGTAATTTTGTCATTCAAACTGACCAGGTGGTAGAATATGAATAGTACAACCTGTGTGAACCTTAGCATAAGTCACTGGAAATAAATTCATTGTAATAGCCACATTCATTACCTAGGTTTACAATAAACAAACAGAAATAACACAAAAAGGTCTATATAAGAAACAAAAGAAATATGTCATAAAATCACAGAATATTAGGGTTGGAAGGGACCACAAGAAGTCATCTAGTAGTCCAACCCCCTGCTCAAAGCAGGACCATTCCCAATTAGATCATCCCAGCCAAGGCTCTATGTACCCGGGTCTTAAAAACCTCCAGGGTAACCTCTCTGGGTAACCTGTCCCAGTGATTTACTACCCTCCTAGAAAGGAAGCTTTTCTTAATATCTAAACTAAATTTCCCTTGCTGCAACAAACAAACCTTTCACATGTAGCAACAGGAGGGGGAAAAAATCCTTCCTGGATCCTGTAGCATCCAGCAATGTCCAGAAGCATGGGCTATACCTAACACTCCCCACTCTGTTCTGCAACCTAGGACCTGTAAACACAACTCCATGCATCTTACACCCTGACTGGAAAGCCAGGGCTCCCTTTACTAACATTCTTTGGCCTCCATAATTTTATCTCAGCTCTTTTAATCTTCTTTCATAAGCAAGCTGGTTGTGGAGTTCTGCCTCATCCTATTACTGAGCATGGTCCTCTCCTGTTTCCACCTAGCTGAAAACATCAAAAGCCAACCTCCAAGGCCAGGGATAGAAGTTACACATAAACCAGCTTAAGTAATCAGAAACTGGTTTAAACCTGTAACAGAACAGAAGCTCAATAATTAATAACCAGTTTCAAAATGGCTGAAACTGGTTTAAGATAAACCTGGTTAAATGTAGTATCAGACTTACCTCATTTGGGTCAAACTAGTCTATGAAACTTCTGTCCCAGACACCTTCCTGGTTCAAGGTAAATCACACTCCCCCAGCATCCCAACATGCTTTCCAACCCTGGGCTGGGCTGTCTGCTCCAGAGAGCAGGGCTGGCCCCACCCCTCTGCTCCCTAGCTGGAGCAGTGAGAGCTAGCTGACATGGGGGAGGGATGGAGACCAGCCCAGCTGGGGATGCAGTCCAGTCTATGGGAGGTGGAGGGAATGGGGTTCTGCCCCCCAGGTAAACCCTGGCTGTGGTCTGGGGCCAGGCAGGGGGGTTAAAACATCCTTTCCCCACTCAAACTTACTGCTGGCTGCAACTGTGGACTACAAATCTCAGACGCATCTGAAAGCACAAAGAGGAAATGACCCTACAGAGTCCTGTTGCTATAATTCTGGACTGAAAATCCTAGAGACCTTGGGGGCAGCAGGAAGAGGAAGCAAACACACAGCCAGAGAACCAGGCTCTAGCACCCCTGGCTTCTGGCCTGAGCCACTGCAGACATGTGGCTGTATTTCCTGCATCAAAAGTCTGTTCACTTCTGTTTCAATTTAATCTGTGCAGCTTAGACTAACTTGCAAAGACTGAATTGATTCAGCCTTGGGCTTTTTGACTGTCTGTACCTAGACCAAAAGCCTGCCTAGCACCAAATCAGCTCTAACTTCAAATCTTTTAACAATAGCTCCACTGTCTATCCTGTAGTGAAAAAAACAAATGTCTTGTAACCCAGCCTCATGGTCACTAATGCCAGAATCAGGTGAGCAAAGTAGATAAGAGATTTCCAAAGCAAATATAGTCCACCCAGAACATTCTGCTACCATTTTAAACCAGAACTCTGGGAGCTCAAGTCCTTTGGTATCAGAGTGTGGTTCCGAAACAGTCTTCCAATACCAATGGAGGGGGACAAATAAACTAAACACTTTTATAACAAAGTATACAACAGGGTTGCCTGCAATGGTAGGGAATTGGGGGTTCAGTTGCCTAGGGCTGAGAAGTAGTCAGGGGAGGCAGGGGAGGAGGAATGAGTAGGGGTGTCCATTCCAGTCCTATGATGCAGTCTAACAACAAGGAGAAATGGGGGACCCCCAAGGACATTTAATAAAGCTTTTTTTTTTTTAATTAAAAATAACGCTTTTGTAAAATAAAATAAAAAATAACACCTTAACTCAGAAATAAACTGGTAAATAACGTAGACTGTACAACTGAAATGCTGATATGAAAAGACAACTAGTGGATTCCTAATGAAAGGCAGTAATTAGCTGTATGGTTCTGGCCAGCAAAAAAAAAAGGAGGAAAAAGTACTCTGAAGGCCTGAAGAAGATTAAATGTGGTACAAAAGTTACGGGACTCAAGCAATGTAGGATAAATTACTTTGTATAGTAGTAGTTTAAAACAGTTGGCATGTCTAAGATGTTTACTTCACAGTTGACTAATTAGCTGTGCAGTAAATGACATGGTGTCTACACGTGTGCCCCTATTAGGCCAAAGCCAACTAATTTACTCCACATTAACAAACTCCACAGCAGCACATATATAGACGCTGGATGGGCTAGCTGAGGCACATGGGTGCTTCAATGCGGGGGCTGCTGCCGGCTAGCCCCACATTGAGGCTCCCTCATGCTCTAGCCAGCACCTCCATATCATATCATTTGAGCCAGGGAGGAGCAGCCCCAGCTTGCAGGCTGGCCCCTGGGGCCCCCTGTCAGCCAGGGCTGCTCTGACCCAGCTTTGCATGCTGCACATGAATAAACTCCAGAGCTTATTACTCCAGAGTTAATTGCTATTCGGCGCATGTTCAAATGGCATGCCTGGGAGCAACTGGGCCAGGAGTTTATTCATGAACAGTAATAGCACACGTATAAGCACCCAATTTAACCTAATCATAAAACTGCAATTAAAGATGACTTAATTTGTTCATTTGCCTTCAAAACAATATTTTTACACTCTTTTTCAATAATTTGAGGTATTAGCGTAACTTTATTTTTAAATAAAATACCAACTCCTAAACAAAATACCAATCAGTAGATACTATCATATTTCTAAAATAACCTTAAACAAAAATACACATGCAGATATGTGCTTTATTATAGCCTGTATTACTCAGGAAGTCAAACTAGATGATTATAATAAACCCTTGGTAGCCTTAAAAATCTATGAATAATCAGAGTTCTCACCTTCTACTTACTGCTTCTAAGTTTAAAACGTAGTTGTTTGTAGGATTAATGTCATAAGCACAAGCTACCAAAAATCAAAGCAAGGTATAATTTATTGCAATTGATCTCTTCAAATATTTGACCACATATTCTTTAAGAAATGGAAAGGGGAAGGTTTGGCTTTCTTTTGACTTTTTTCCTCCTAAGGAAAATCAGGTAGTTGTCAATTTACAACTTTTGATAAAACATTTCTGTAATACATATACATTCAGAATGTGAACAGGCTCATTTCAGGCCCCATCAACAATGCAGAATTAAATAGGATGTTCCTAAATGCTGAATCAGGCCAAACAAACTGCTTTCTCCAGCATCCTATTGTAAAGCTGCACAGGTTTGTGTTTTCTTTGAAGCTATATAACACAGTTCTCATGCTTATATTAAAATCACAAGGCACTGAATATGTCAATAGTTTTAAAACACTGCCTTAGATACCATGAACAATATTTCTAAAATGGCAGAAGTATAATAGCAAAAGTTAAGAAATACATTGCTCAGACAGGGTCTTGAAATACACTGATATGGAAGTATGTCTGAACACATGGTATCTCACTGTTTGCAATGATAGTTTACGACACCTACACTCCCAAATAAAGTCTTTCTAGTCCTTCCCTTTTGTCTCAGTTTGTACATTTATGGTAGCTGCAAGTGTCTTTTTTCCCTGATCACATCATTTTGTATTATTCAATAAACGATGCAAATACATTCATATATAGGAACAAAAATGCTATAAAATGACACTATACCCCATGTTTAAAGCACTCTGCTACCCACATTTGTCCTTATGCTATTTGTTGTGGGGTTTTATTCCTTTTGCAATCATTACTAGGGACCTACCAAAATATCAATTTCGCATTTTTGTGGAAAATACAAAATCAGGTGTTTTCCGCAATAAAATGGAAGGCTCCGCTGTAGCCATGTACAGGTCTGTGCAGCATGAACTATGGGTAACAAACAACTTAAACCAAATATATGTTATCCAAAGCATAACCAAATTGCAGGGAAAGTGTGGATGTCAGGCTTGGCCATTTTCTTGGAACCTAAGTCAAAGCTGTTGAAACATGACTAAACAGCAAGCCAAGGGTCTGTATCCTAGATGCTCTGTATTACAATTGCATCCTAAGGTGACCAAATGTATTAATGGTTATTTTACTATAATAAATGTATTTTTGCTAACGTGTTCACATAATTATAGACACAAAGGCATCCTTAAGGATGGAAAGAGCGAAGCAGCTTTGTCAGGCTACAGGGCACATTTAGTAAGTAACTGACCAACGGCCAAAAAGTACAACATAAAGAAGACAATAAATCTGTTCTTCTGCTATCTCAAAAAATATACATTTCAAATGATTAACATGATATTGATTAAGGGTTACCAGATGAATGACAGACTAGAGTAAGAGCCTTAGCTAAATTGATCCCTCAAGCCCTTTCCCAGGGCCATTAAAATCTGGTTCCACCCAGGCCCACAAGTTCCAGTGAAACAAAGAAATTTAAATCAAACCAATCAGATCAATTATTAGCATGCCAAATCAATCATCCATAAATACTGAGCCTGGGGCAAGCAACAGATTGGACTTTTCCCAAAGCTTAACAGAAAAAAACAACTCTGCAACAGTCCCCAGGAAAGCAGATGCCTAGCCAGCAGACCTGTTCTTCCCAAATCTAAGGTTGCGTAAACATTGGCTTTATTAGTATCAGTAAGTTTTTGCTATTGCGTATCCTAATAAAGATTTGAGTTGCAACTGGAACAACCTCATTGATTAATTAATCTCACTCCTAACCACGAGTCCAATCAAAAAGCAACAGCATGCTTTCGGAAGGCTTGCTGGAAGGAGAAAAAAAAAAACAAAACAAAAAAAACTTTACCAGCAAGCAAAGAAAAGGGCAGGAAGCCCTGCAATCTTGGAGCATAGGAAGAGGGGAAAGGGGGGAACAGGGCTGTTTGCAGCAGGAGTGCAAGAGGCTGCAAGCAGCTGCACCAGGGTCCGTGGAGCCCCGGCCCCGGCCCATGGACCCTGCATGCATCCACCGCTGGCAATGAGCTGGGCCAGGGCTCCGCAGACTCTGTTACAGTCACTTACAGCCTCCTTGCTGCTTGTCACATCCAGCCTGGGCCCAGACTCTGTGCAGGCCCCTATTGCCAGCCATGGAGCCCAGGCTAGCTGTGGCAGGCAGCCAGGAGGCTTCAAGAGGCTGCACTGGGATCTACAGAGCCCTGACCTGGTCATTGCCACTGACAGGTGCACACGCACCTTGGGGCAAACACACCTTGGGGTAGGGGTTAAGGCTATGCTGCACCCACCACTAGCAACAAGGTGAGCTGAGGCTCCATGGACCTCCTGGCTGTCTGCCATAGCCAGCCCAGGACCCCAGTACAGCTGCTTGTAGCGTCTCTGTTTGGGAGTGACCTGAAATTGCAGCTTAATTGCCCTGGTTAAGCTGGGGGAAGCCATTAATCCACACTTAATAATGTGTGAATTAATGGCTAGTCATCAATACTACTACAGAAAAATAACACTTTATAACTTACAATTTGTTAAGATGCTGAGACTCCCACAATAACAAAAAAAAATACAAATACACCAGAATGTAAAGTATAACTATACCTGAAACTTCACACGGTTCATGGAATTTCTGATAAACATCTTTTTTAAATTCTTCATTTCTGTATATAAGATGTGGTTTGTTATGTTCATCTTCATGTTCACTTCCATCTGTTTTCATCAGAGGTTCTAAAAAATATTCACCATCATGTGCTTTAAAGGTGCCCATCTGAAAAATCAAAGATAGGTGGTCAATGCACTTCACATGGAAGTCACTGGTGTACAAAACATTACTGCACGTAAGAAGATGATTATGAAGTGTTTAAAATTAAATTAAATTAAGTTGAACTGTCTGGTATATTTTGTTGCCATTGAAGTTTGTGGTTTCATTTGAGAATATTATGTACTATATGGAAATCTGTATCTATATTTCTACTTTTAGATGCTTCCAATCCTGAAAATACATGTAAGAAGATCCCAGAGCACAGGCAGAATCCTAACAATCTCCATACTGAAGCTCAAGTCTGGAATTTTCCACTCATACATCAGTTCAGTTCAGAGTAACAAGGAAATCTCAACTCTGGGATTTGTACCTTGAGTTATGTTTCTGTTTTGAGCTGTTGTTCCTTCCTTTTGCAAGTAACATAACACTTTGCTCCTAAAATTTCAGTTTTACTCTATATAAAAGAAATATTGCTAATATAAAATGTAGTTTATTTCAACAAAAAATATTTAAAACTAGTTTCAGGAGCTACTCCTGTCTAAGTTCCTGTTGTTATTCTTTTGAAATAAATGTTGCTATTCCTTAAATATTTTTCTGTCCTTCTGTTTGAAAGATACAAAAAGCTGAGGGAACCAAATGAGTGAGCAGAGGTAATCAGTAAAACTGGCCACCCACAAAGTGCTTTTACCTGCACAAAGTAAACAAACAAACAAGCAAAAAATCAATCTCCCGTAGTGAAGCCCCCCATAAGGTCATTCGATAGAGACATCCTAATATAGCATCTTTCCCTCTTAATCTTTCTTATCATTTTAATTAATGGTTAGATATTTAATTTTTAACAGTGAATACAACATTAAGATATGAAGCAAAGATGTATAGAGCAAGCTGGCTAAGCATAAGGGGAGAAGAGGAACAAGATACAGGGCCTACGGAGAGGGAAGAAAGTTTTAGAGGCAAACAGTACACAACATCAGCAACCCCTAGATGCATTGTAGGAGCCCAGGTTTGGGGCAAGGGAAGCAGCAGGCAGGAATGTGTCACACAGCCACAAAAAGGCAGCAGCACGTAAGATCTAGGAAGCTATTGTTTATGACTAAGAGCCCAGAAAAAGCTCCCATCAGACCTAGTATGACATGACCTGTAGAAGAAGAGCGACTGGAATTTCAGCAAGGCAGCTGAAAGCTCAGTCACAATAGAAAGCCCTCAGACAGCAGCAGCATGAAGTGGTATAACAGCAAAGACCTAGGGAAACAAGGCAGCAGTAACAGTACCTGAGTACACCTCCAGGTCACACCCTCTTCTTGTAGTGTACAGGAGTATTTCAGACTGCTCACCCCTTTTTAAAAGTAAAACATATTCACAACCCCCTTCACTTACTAACAAAATGTTAAAACGTATAAGTGATCACCCCTTATAAATTTATTAGTGTGCATGTTTTAAAAAGTCGACAGAGAATAATTTATCCTTGAATGGTAAGGGTGTGAGTGGAGTAGGAGAACAATATTTTCTTTGTTTTAGATTGTATTAAAATAGTTATTTTCTCTTGATTGCCTGAATGCTTTCTGTAACCTGCCTGGATGTTGCAACCCCTAGCTGAGCAATAGAGATAGAGGAATTGATAGCATCTGCTTAAAAAGTGTGAGCCTTTAGTGGCTGGCAGTGTTTTGTGTTTAGAAATATGCAAGATGATCAGGCCAGAAACATGCCAAATGTAGCCTTGAATGCAGTTAGGAAACAGACCACTTTGATTGGATTGTTCCTTCATATTATGCTTCCTGTGTAAAGAGCAAAATCATAACACGTATGCTCATACAACTATTCCCTGACCCCCGGATGTTTCCTCTCATACCTTTATATCTCACTCTGCAGATGTAGCCTTTTCTCGGTATCAGACAGATCTAAGTTCTTAGTAAGGCCTGGGCATACAAGTGGCTCCAAGTCCTATAGGACCTTTACAACCTGAGACCTCCTATAAGTTCTACAGCCTGTCAGTCAGTCCTCTGCAGGTATGTCTACACCTGATAGCTTGGGATATTCCCAGGCACACAGCTTCACCCACTCCTGATTGCATGCTCCAACAACAGTAATAACGTATTAATTCAATGTGCAGTAGCCAGCACTAATTTGCAGTAGCACCGGCACATGCCTTAGTGGCACTAATGCGCAGTAGACTAATTCTACTGTGCATTACCATGGCTTTTGCTGTGACGCACTAATACACAGTTGAATTAGTCTAGTGTGCGTTGAGCATCTCGTGTAGATGCACCCAGTCTCCAGCATGCTTGAGACTAGCTACTGGGAAGGACCCTGGAGCAACCTCATCAATGTATGTCCAGGTTTAGAGAGTGAATACAAAAGAATAGGTGAGACATGCTTAGGAATGTCCCAGGCAGCATACATTGATATCCTGGAATACATATACCACAGTTTTAATTCTGTGAGCCAAGCAACAAATGAAAGAGACCAGTAGGTCCGCTTATTTAGGTTGGATGGAGTGAAGTTTTAGCTAAGATTTAGTGTTATTTTTTTAATTTAATTGATTAATAAAGCTATATCCTAAATATGGGATAAATTTGACCTTGTCTGTGTAGACATTATTTATACATTCATTTATCCATTCTTTGCAGGTTCTTTTAAAATCTCTGTTTAAAAGGGATAAAAATCATGTTTTAGAAAAATAAATTTTAAATTTAAATACAATTTTAATTTATTCCCCTTCATAATCTTAATTTGATAGTGAATATTTTATACTTGTTCCTTTAATAAATTTCACAATCAATAGCAGAGTTTCAGATTTTACCCATCTTTTGAAAAGGAAATTCCACACTTAAAATTTTTATCTATGCTGTAAAAGAAAATTAGGGCCCCAGAATACCCGTATTGTGAGCACACCACCAACAATGAATGCAAAAATACAAAGCAAACAGTTTGTGCCCGCTCTGTAATACATACATTATCACATTATCTTCCAATATATAAAACTTCAACAAGTCTTTATTGCTGAAAGTGAGATGTATAGACCAGGCTATAATCCTCTATCAAGTTTTGCAATTCGAAGTCTTTAGTATCAGCATTCGTATTTATCTAGGTAACACATAAATTTCCACTTCTGGATGCCAATGGGCTCTGGAATTTAACTTAATACTGAAGCCTTTTTGTTTCAAGTGACAAAGAGGTTAATAATGATAAAATTACAGTTTTAGCCGCTGATGCTACAATTACATACATATTTATGAAATGTTTTTGTTTGCCCTGAATTTCAGTATTTGAAATTTGCTGGTAGATGCAAAAATCAAAATAAGATATCCCATCAATTGCTATATTTAAAATATTTATTCTAATTTACAATTTAGGGGAAGAAGATGACATCCTGCTCATGGTCCTCCCTGCTAAGTGCGAAATACAACAAATGTCATTACTCCAGCAGTAAAACTTTGATCTTCAAACTCAAGGCCAAAGAAGCAAGAGCAAAGTACATTTATTTCAGTTACAATAACAGAAATGATCAAATCAATTTTACAAAGTATCAATCTGCTTAACATTTTTAAACATAAATCCTTTATTTAAGTGATTTAAATCAACTATTTAACTTGCCTAGTTCTGAATCTTGTTTCTAGGTGATTATCTGGAAACATAAATTTAGATATCAACTTTATAAAGTCACACAGCTTCTGCTCTAGATCTCTCTTCCTCTTCTTCCAAGAAAATCTCAACCTCTTTCTAATATATCCTTTCAACTTAAATTTAACATGGTCCAACCTGAGTTTCCAATTCTGTTTAACACAGAAAATTAAATTCCTTTGTCTAGTGACTTATTATTTATATTTTTATTTTTATTGTTGACAATGCTACTTCCATAATTTTTATGTCTGTTTGCTACAGCTGAAAAATTATTTAAGATGGTAAGATAGGGACTCAATAAACCAAACCCTCCAGAAAATGCTGCACATACTTGAGTATTTCTTACCAAAATTTGGTAGTTTTTTGTTTGTTTTTTTCGGAGGGGCACGGGGGTGGCATTAGAACTGAATGGTTTAGAACTGCAGCAGTCAACCAACTAGGGTGGCCACAGATGCATCCCCAAAACACAGGATATTCCTTTGGTGAGGGGCGGCCCCCCTCGGCCAATCAACATTAATGGGTGGGGCCACCCAGCCCCTTGGCCAATCAGCAACAAGGGGCAGGGCCACCACAAAAAGGCCACCTCCCTACCTGACTTGGAATCCTACTCCTCCCGGCTGTGGACCGCCCTAGCTCTAGGCACAGCCAATAGTTTCATAGCTTCTAGGGTCGGAAGGGACCTAGGGAGATCATCTAGTCCGACCCCCTGCCATGGCAGGAAAGAGAACTGAGGTCAAATGACCCCAGGGAGCTTGTGACCGTTATTCCTGGTCACTCCTGGCGGTGCCCGGGGGGACAGGGACTCCCCCAGTGCCTGTTGATCCCCCCCGACTAGTTTATAGCAGGCCACAAGATCCCCCCATAGCCTTCTCTTCTGGAGGCTGAACAGGTTCAGGTCCCGTAACCTTTCCTCATAGGACCTGCCCTGCTGTCCCTTGATCATGCGAGTGGCCCTCCTCTGGACCCTCTCGATGCTGTCCACATCCCTCTTAAAGTGCGGCTCCCAGAACTGGACGCAGTACTCCAGCTGCGGCCTGACCAGTGCCGCATAGAGGGGGAGGATCACCTCCTTGGTCCTGCTTGAAATGCATCTGTGGATGCACGACAAGGTACAGTTGGCCTTCCTAGCCGCCTCCCCACACTGCCTAGCCATGTTCATCTTGGAGTCAATAATGACTCCAAGATCCTTTTCCACTTCCGTGCTGACAAGAGGGGAGTTCCCCAGCCTATAGGTATGGTGCCGGTTGTTCCTCCCCAGGTGCATCACCTTGCACTTGTCTGTGTTCAACCCCATCCTGTTCTCCTCCGCCCATCCTTGTAACCTGTCAAGGTCCGACTGTAGCCTGTTGCTCCCTTCTATTGTGCCCACATCCCCCCACATCTTG